GTAGGGAGGAGGGAGGGAAGAGTGAGGGAAGAAAGAGGAGAAAGCAGAGAAGAGGGAGGAGAGAGGAAGAGGAGAGAGTGAGGAAGAAAGAGAAGAAAAGGAGGGAAGGGAGAAGAGGGAGGAGGAAGGAGGAAAGAGGAGAGAGGGGAGGAGAGAGGACTGAGGAGAAAGTAGGGAGGAGGGAGGGAAGAGTGAGGGAAGAAAGAGGAGAAAGCAGAGAAGAGGGAGGAGAGAGGAAAGAGGAGGGAGGAGAGAGAACTGAGGAGAAAGTTGGGAGGAGAAAGGAAAGAGGAGAGAAGAGGGAGGAGAAGGAGAGAGGAAAGAGGAGGGAGCTGAGAGGAAAGAGAACAGAGAAAAGAAAGAGAAGAGAGAGGGAGAGAGAGGAGAGAGAACAGAGGAGAGAGGAAAGAGGAGAAAGGAGAGATGAGAGAGGAGGAGAGTGGATGTGGAGTGAGTGTAAATTGAAGGATTAGTGGAATTGTAAAGGCCCCGAGAGCTGCCAACAATATCACACTGGAGCTGAATGCACAAGCAGGTCAAGAGAAAACACCGCCTTAAACCTGCTGTTACACTCACACTCGCTCTGCGCTATTGTGGAAAACATGAAATACTCGCCTTTCTGGAACTTTCTCCTCACGTTCTATCGTCGGTCGTTCATCAAAAACCTGCCCGAGTTATTGTTAGTGTTGTTACCTACATCTGAAAAGACGAGTGTCATTGTTTACGCTTGTAGTATGAAGTGTACGTCATGTCCTTAAAGGTTGTATGGAGGATTTTGTTTTGTTTCACGTTGTCAATGATAGATTATAGATGCAGTAGCCTTGTAATTATGATGACCAAAAAACAGAGAATAAAAATTCATCAACTCTGGACGTGGTGGGGCTAAACATTTGCCAATAGATAACGACACTGCCTCGTTATCTGTGAGCTGACAGGCTGTCAATCAATCTCCCTACGTTTCTAGTGTAACTGACTTGCCTGCGCCGCCGGTACGTGGTTTACGTACGACTGTCACGCAGTCCACAGACGCAAGACGCACAGACGCTGTTTACTCCACCAACGCAACAGTTCTTAGCAGCTTTTTTTGACCTATATCTTCCTCGCAGTTCACACAAAGTTTGTTGCAATGGAGACAAGAATCCAGGAGCAGTTCGCCGCAAAAGAAAGTCCGTTTTTGAGGTCGCTGAAAGAAGAAGACAAGGGGAAAAGCAGCGAAGCCAAACTAAGGTGATTCTTGAAGATTCATTCCAGTGATGGCGCGACTGAAGCAGACGAAGGGTCTAAAGACTGACGCACTGGTCCACAAATTACTCCTGGACAGGAAACTTCTGCTTATTATGAAAACGTACTTTATTTCCAAGAGCGAGACAAACGTTTTTCAGGACACGAAAGCGATATCCTATGTCTGAAAACGTAATTTTCAAGGCAAAGAAAGAGTCCGCTTGCTGCTGCGTGTTGTAGCTAGTTCATTCGCACAGAATCTCCGCGCAACCTTCTCTGCACCCCTTTCCTGCTCCTCTCCCCGCTGCCCGATCCGCTCTTCTCCCTGCTCCTCACTTCTCCGTCTTGCCTAACCAACACTGTAGTTAGTTGTTTACAAGTCATGTGCAGCGGCTGTAAACAAACCTGTTTCTGGTGTAAGGAGGAGGAGGGAGGAGGTGTTTCTACGTAGGAGCTGTAGGGGAGGGGGGGTTTCACGCATGCGCAACATTTGAAAAAGGACAAACAGTCGCTGGATTTCTCGTTCCTTGGAAAATCCTCTATACAACCTTTAATTAGCAATTTGACCTCTTTTTATGTTCTGAAGGTTAAGGTTGTGTCGGGTTATTGATGCCTAATGTTTACGAGGCACATATTATATGCAGTTTATTTTATTATTTCTAATTTATTTCAGCTGTTTGCCAACACGTAAGTGGCTATAGGGACATACTTATTTAGTTATGCTTTTTTTTTTTTTTGTTTCGATATCAGATATATTTTAAAACACGCAGACATTATAGTGTAGACTGCCACTCGGGGGATTTAAAACTTAAAGAAAGACTGATGGAGTGAGGCTATGACTTTGAAACAACATGGGGCAATGGCAGAATGTTCAGAATGTAACAACATCCAACACGAAGGCAAGAAGGTTCAAAAACAGCCTAGTCGGAAAACGTTGTCAGTTAATTAGCTGCGCAAGAAAACCAGGTAAGTTTGGGGTTGTTACGGACAATTAAGAATGCGAACATACACGCTGAGCGAATTTTGGAATGAATGAGCTGTAGTTTGCATTTTTATCGAGGCTCCTTAGTTTGTTTGCTGTATGATTGTTCTAAAATCTAAAATCAATCGGCAGTTTTGAAAACCTTCGGTGCAAAATGGACAGCGGGCGGATGATGAGTTTTGTGTCGCGGTTGCGGATGAAAAAATAGCCCATCCGCGCGCATCTCTACTTGAGACCAGACTGAAATTAATCTGTATAAAAAAATAAAAAGTCTGGATTTGTCAGTAAGGTGAAGATCTGTTCAGGCCGTTGCAATTTCCAGGAGAATTTACCAGATTTTTTTTTGGCTGCGATTTGCTTCTCTGAGTACAGGGAGACGTCGCCTAACTCCGCTCAATTTCAATTCTCTCCGGCGACTACTTCAGGAATCGGAATTCACTAGACGGTTTACAAGAGCCCCGGAAGTGCGAGTTCGGGCACCAGCCAATCAGCGAAGAGTCATATATTCAGTGTTGGCAACGATTCCGGAGATCGAGGATTTAAAGCCGGAACAAAGAGAATGTTTGGTGAATTTTATCAAAGGGGAAAGACGTTATTGTCCTTCCTCCTACGGGATTTGGTGCATTACATACGTCACGACCAAACAGCGGCGATTGGTTAAATTAAAAAAGTACCCGCCTACCGTCAAGCGAACGAATTCTAACGTAACAACCAATTAAACAAATAAAATAAACACTCGGTAAATAGCGAAAATAATATAGTCAACTGCAGCATCTCATCCATATTATCCATAGAATTTGTCCTCCGCAAATAATGACCCCACTTCACAAAACTCTTCGCGCTCTTAATCCAGTTTGAGGCGTTGTTTAAAAGTAAAAAGGTGGGAGTAGTTCCTCACGTGTTTGTTTACATCCAAGACTCGACTTCCTGTATATTTTTATTATTGCGAAAATGAAATGAGACTGATCTAGGACTAAACCAGGACTAAATCATTTTCAGTCCTGGTTTGGTCTCGGTCTTAGTCCCGGTCTCAGTCCCGGTCTGGTCCCGGTCTCAAGCACGGTCTGGTCCTGGTCTGGTCCGGGGCTCAGTCTCAGCCTCAGTCCCAGTCTCAGTCCTGGTCTGGTCCTGGTCTCAGTCCCCGGTCTCTGTCTCGGTCTCAGTCCTGGTCTGGTCCTGGTCTCAGTCCCCGGTCTCTGTCTCGGTCTCAGTCCTGGTCTCAATCATGGCCTGGTCCTAGTCTGGTCCCGGCCTCAGTCCTGGTCTCAGTCCTGGTCTCAGTCCCGGTCTGGTCCCGGTCTGGTCCTGGTCTCAATCACTGTCTGGTCCTGGTCTACTCCTGGCTTACGTCTCGGCCTTAGTCCTGGTCTCAGTCCCAGTCTCAGTCCTAGTCTCAGTCCTAGTCTCAGTCCCGGTCTCAGGCCCGGTCTCGGTCCCGGTCTTGTCCCGGTCTAAGTCCTGGTCTCAATCATGCCCTGGCCCTGGTCTGGTCCTGGCCTCAGTCTCAGCCTCAGTCCTGGTCTCAGTCCTGGTCTCAGTCCTGGTCTCAGTCCCGGTCTGGTGGTCCTGGTCTGGTCCTGGCCTCAGTCTCGGCCTCAGTCTCGGCCTCAGTCCTGGTCTCAGTCCCAGTCTCAGTTCCAGTCTTAGTCCTGGTCTCAGTCCTGGCCTCAGTCCCGGTCTGGTCCCGGTCTGGTCCTGGTCTCAGTCTTGGCCTCAGTCCTGGTCTCAGTCTTGGTCTCAGTCCCGGTCTGGTCCCGGTCTGGTCCTGGTCTCAGTCTCGGCCTCAGTCTCGGCCTCAGTCCTGGTCTCAGTCTTGGTCTCAGTCCCGGTCTGGTCCTGGTCTGGTCCTGGTCTCAGTCTCAGCCTCAGTCCTGGTCTCAGTCTTGGTCTCAGTCCTGGTCTGGTCCTGGTCTGGTCCTGGTCTGGTCCTGGCCTCAGTCTCGGCCTCAGTCTCGGCCTCAGTCCTGGTCTCAGTCCTGGCCTCAGTCCTGGTCTCAGTCCTGGCCTCAGTCCTGGTCTGGTCCTGGTCTGGTCCTGGTCTCAGTCTCGGCCTCAGTCCTGGTCTCAGTCCCAGTCTCAGTTCCAGTCTTAGTCCTGGTCTCAGTCTTGGCCTCAGTCCTGGTCTCAGTCCCAGTCTCAGTTCCAGTCTTAGTCCTGGTCTCAGTCTTGGTCTCAGTCCCGGTCTGGTCCCAGTCTGGTCCTGGTCTCAGTCTTGGCCTCAGTCCTGGTCTCAGTCCCGGTCTGGTCCCGTCTGGTCCTGGTCTCAGTCTCGGCCTCAGTCTCGGCCTCAGTCCTGGTCTCAGTCTTGGTCTCAGTCCCGGTCTGGTCCTGGTCTGGTCCTGGTCTCAGTCTCAGCCTCAGTCCTGGTCTCAGTCTTGGTCTCAGTCCTGGTCTGGTCCTGGTCTGGTCCTGGTCTGGTCCTGGTCTGGTCCTGGCCTCAGTCTCGGCCTCAGTCTCGGCCTCAGTCCTGGTCTCAGTCCTGGCCTCAGTCCTGGTCTCAGTCCTGGCCTCAGTCCTGGTCTGGTCCCGGTCTGGTCCTGGTCTCAGTCCTTTTTTCCATTTTTCATTTCAACACAAAATCAAAAACTGAAAAATCTAAATCATGATCTGTTTGTTTCATTTTGGTTTTGGAGACAAATAATGAAGAAAATCGTTGCTTTTTCGTTTTCTTATTTTCGGTTTTATTTTGAAAAACGAGCGAACGAACGACACACCGATCACCGAGTCCCCGAACGTGCCCCTGGACTTTACCGCCTCCCGTCCACGATCTCATTTCCCGTCCTTTCTGTCCCTCCAGGCTCGCCGTACCGAGACAAGATCACCATCGCCATCTTGCAGCTGCAGGAGGAGGGGAAGCTGCACATGATGAAGGAGAAGTGGTGGAGAGGGAACGGCTGCCCGGAGGAGGAGAGCAAAGAGGCCAGTGCGCTCGGCGTGCAGAACATCGGCGGCATCTTCATCGTTCTGGCCGCGGGACTCGTGCTCTCCGTGTTCGTGGCCGTGGGAGAAGTTCTCTACAAGTCCAAGCAGAACGCGCAGATGGAGAAGGTAAAGGTCTGTCTTATGTGGTCTGTGTAGGAGGGGGACAAAAGTGTTCAAAGTCTAGGTATTTTGTTGAAATTGAAAACTGTGTCTCAGATCACATGGCCCTGACCTGTGGGGTGCCTCAGGGGTCAATCCTGGGCCCCCTGTTGTTCAATCTCTACATGCTGCCATTAGGTCAGTTAATAAGCAGCAATAACGTGTCCTACCACAGTTATGCAGACGACACTCAGATCTACGTCTCTCTGGCAGCAGGAGACTATGGACCAGTGGAGTCACTTGGTCACTGCGTCCAACAGATCAGTGTGTGGAGGCAAAACAACTTTCTCCAGCTAAACTCTGACAAGACTGAAGTCATAGTGTTTGGTCCACAGAAACAAAGGGACAGTGTCAGCATCACCTCCAGTCTCTCTCTCTAAAACCTTCAAATCAGGCAAGAAATCTCGGGGTAATAATGGACTCAGACTTGAACTTTAACAGCCACATCAAATCAATAACATCTGCAGCCTTTTACCATCTAAAAAACATAGCAAAAATCAAAGGTTTACTGTCTAAATCAGACTTGGAGAAACTTATCCATGTGTTTGTCTCCAGTAGGTTAGATACTGTAATGTTCTGCTCACTGGTCTCTCCAAACGAGCTGTGAGACGCTGCAGAACATCCAGAACATCCAGAACATCCAGAAATCCAGAAACGCTGCAGCTCGGGTCCTGACTCGAACTAGGAAGTACGAGCACATAAGTCCTGGTCTCAGGTCTCTGCTCTGGCTCCTGTGGCTCAGAGACTTTAAAGCAGCTCTGCTTGTACAAGTGTCTCCATGGCCGAGCACCAAAGTCCATCTGTGACATGTTAGTGTCATATGAACATCTCACACTCTGAGGAGCTCAGGGACCAACTCCTGCTGGTGCCCAGAGTCACGACTAAACAAGGGGAGTCAGAGTTTCAGGTTCATGCAGCTAAAACCTGGAACAGTCTGAACATGTGAGACAGACTCTTCTGTGACGCTGTTTAAATCCAGACTCAAAACATTTCTGTTTAACTGTGCAAATAACTGAAAGGTTTTCATTCCGCACTCTTCTCTCTTTTTTAATTTTAATCTTCATGATTATTTATGTTTTGATTTGTTTTTATTATGATTTTAATGTATTTCTTATTCTGTAAAGCACTTTGAATTACTTTGTGTACGAATTGTGCTGTACAAATAAACTTGCCTTGCCTACGTAAACTAGTATCAAAATTAGGGGGAAAAAAATCACATAACTGGATACAACTTGTCCTTTTCTAAGCAGTTTCATCTTGACTTTTATCAGGACTAGAATAAGAGCGCACGGTATAGAGGCTTTGCACCGTCACGTGACCCCATAGCAACGGTAACTACGCCGCCATGACACCGGGCAACGCTATGCCATTCACTTCAGTAACATCGGAGAAACATGGGCAGGTTTTGTTGTGTGTCTGGCTGTTCTAGTCGCTCTGAAAGGGATAAAACGATTCGTTTTTTTCAATGTTCCTCTGGAAATTACTCATCAGGGATCTCAAACAAGGGAATTATCGGGAAAAAAAGACGGGAATTATGGCAAACATAAACCGCGAAGAGATTTCTAATGGTACTATCAAGTCACCCGAAGTTTGCTCGCGTCACTTTCATCAAGGTATTTGCTATTTAAATTGTTTCATAGATTATTTAATGAAAGAAGCACATTTACAGTGATCCTCGCGCGCGCTTCAATTCGCGGAATTTTTTACAGTGAATCATTGGCTTACATTTGTCACATTGCCAACAGTTACATTCTGCCAAATTACGTTCGCGCAAAAAACCCAAATGTCTAAAACCTGAAAAGCCTAGACCTCGAGAAGACCCCTGCGCAGCCTTCAGTAGAAAAAGACGCTACAGCGCAACGGAGTCAGGACGAAGAGGCGCAGCTTGTGAAATACGCGCTGCAACCTCCTACCTTGTGACTATGTTTTACAACACCGTTCTTAAACTATTATAGTTATTTGTAAGAAAACGTTAATATAGTTGGGCCTGAAAAGAGGTTTTATTTTTTTTTCATTCTGCAGTTCAGTATTGCATTGTAAAATCACAGTAAAAAATACTTCGCGGTTTCAACTTTTTTTGAATTGCCCGGGTTATTTTTGGAACGTATCCCCGCGATAAACGAGGGTTCACTGTACAGAAAAACATTCATTTATCCAGGAAAACCCGCACCAGTCTATGAAGCGAAGATACTCGCGAACGTTAGAGAGATCTGCTCGTAAAACGCGATTCATTGTAGAAGACTTAGTTGTGGATAAGCAAGACAACAAAGAAAACATCGGTCCTACGGCGAGTGACATGTTTATATGCGAGTTGGAAGATACAGTTTCTACTGCTACTCAGACTCCAAATGTGACGATGATTTCGACAGAAACACAAACAGAACTCTCTCAGTTCTCAGTTCTGTCAGAGTTCACGATAAGGACCTTCTGCCACAGATGTTGGCATCAACCACTTACAAGGGACTGAAGTGCACGATTTAGATCGTTTTATTCGTACTCCTGCTTCAACGGCGAACAGAATCGCTTCTACATGAGAACATGTTCCTCCTAAACCTGCCATACAACTGCAGTGGGCTGTTATTATCGTCCCTTCATTAGTTGCTGCGATCCAGGGCTTCAGATGCGTCTCATTCAATCGCTGAGTGGTTAACCTGCGCGAGAATAACATTAGATCATTTTTTTCGCGTTCCGTGGCATTTGTAAACAAACGACAGCTGTGGCTCCAACAGTAGTTTACCATCACCAGGTATAGGTGAGTTTCATTGTTGACAAAAGCGCGCGTTGCATGATGGGAATTATTTTGGTCGGCGGCAAGAAACACTAATTCAACATGACGGACGGAGCGAGAAAACACGTAAAGGGTATTGATCCCGGTTATTTATCCACTCTAACGGCAGAGGACCCAAGACCATTTGACCAGAAATTGGTCATAAGCATCGACGGACGACAAATCACCCTTTTCAACCCCGACAAAAGGTGGAACAAACCAAATTTCTGGTCAGAATCGCCAACTACCTGGACAAATATTCACTTGGGCGACATCCACAATGACTTGGTGGAAACTCCTGGGTCATTCACAGCAGAAAAGATGAAAACCTCCAAGAGTCTCGATGTGTTGTTGAACTTGTTGGAGTCCACGGTTTGTTAGGATCTTCTACGTTTGCTCTGCGGATGTTTGAAAGTCGTTTAATTCACCGTTAGTGGTTCTTTTCACTCAGAATATGAAAAAGACATTTTCCTTCTTCCGTGCTTCTATTTGTGCGTCCGATAATGCAGCAGGAATTTACCATTATCGGGGATAAATACGCGAGGTTACGCACTGTGTTTGACGCTACCGTGTTTCTTGCCTCCGACCAAAATATTTCCCAGCAGCAACACGGGCTTTTAATAACAATGACGTCAGCTGAAACTCGCCTGTAGACTGAATGAATAATAAATATGCTGAATGTAATGATCTGTAAATCGGAAGTGAAAAGCACTAGAGAAATGGGGACTTATTTATTTACAAATAATGAAGAAAATCATTGTTTGTTTTTTTGGGGTTTTTTTTTGTTTTCTTTTTTTTGGTTTTATTTTCAAAAAAACAAATGAACGAACGACACACAGACTCCGATAAGAGAGACGGAGACGTGAATGTAACGTAGTCCTGATTAAGTCCTGATTAAGTCTTGGTTTAGTCCTGGTTTAGTCCTGGTTTAGTCCTGGTTTAGTCCCAGTCCTGGTTTAGACCTGATTAAGTCCTGGTTTAGTCCTGGTTTAGTCCTGGTTTAGTCCTGGTTTAGTCCTGGTTTAGTCCTGGTTTAGTCCTGGTTTAGTGGTTTAGTCCTGGTTAGTCCTGGTTTAGTCCCGGTTTAGTCCCGGTTTAATCCTGGTTTAGACCCGGTTTAGTCCTGGTTTAGACCTGGTTTAGTCCTGGTTTAGTCCCAATTTAATCCTGGTTTAGACCAGGTTCAGTCCCGGTTTAGTCCTGTTTTAGACTTGGTTTAGTCCTGGTTTAGTCCTGGTTTAGACCTGGTTTAGTCCTGTTTTAGTCCTGGTTTAGACCTGTTTTAGTCCTGTTTTAGTCTTGGTTTAATCGTGGTTTAGTCCTGGTTTAGACCTGTTTTAGACCTGGTTTAGTCCTGGTTTAGTCCTGGTTTAGTCCTGGTTTAATCTGTCTGTAAATCGAAAGTGAAAAGCACTAGATAAATGGGGACTTATTTACTTACAAATAATGAAGAAAATCATAGTTTTTTTTTGTTTTTTTCATTTTCTTATTTTTGGTTTTATTTTGAAAAAACAAATGAACTAACGACACACAGATTCCGATAAGCGACTTCGTTTAAACGCCTCCAAAGCTCCGTTAAACTCGCTCTGAATTCCCGTCCTTTCAGTTCTTTTCTTCCTCCTCTTCCTCCGTTTAACTCGAAATCAAACCGCGCTTATGTTTTTGTTTTTTTGTTTTTGTTTTTTTTATCTGCTCTGTTTTCCTCGTGGTGATTCACGTCTCCTCACGGCTCCTTGTGTCGGTGCAGAAGCCGCGGCACCGGGAACGACCGGACTCCTGTTGATCACGACCTTTAATTATTCATGTGGTGCAAAATTAGCTCAGCGCAACGTGAGACGTGAATGTAACGTAGACCTGGTTTAGACCTGGTTTAGTCCTGTTTTAGTCCTGTTTAGTCCTGGTTTAGTCCTGGTTTAGTCCTGGTTCAGTCCTGGTTTAGTCCTGGTTTTAGTCCTGTTTAGTCCTGGTTTAGTCCTGGTTCAGTCCTGGTTTAGTCCTGGTTTAGTCCTGCTGGTTTAGTCCTGGTTCAGTCCTGGTTTTTGTCCCTGGTTTAGACCTGGTTTAGTCCTGGTTTAGACCTGGTTTAGTAGACCTGGTTTAGTCCTGGTTTAGTCCTGGTTTAGACCTGTTTTAGTCCTGGTTTAGTCCTGGTTTAGTCCTGGTTTAGTCCTGGTTTAGTCCTGGTTTAGTCCTGGTTTAG